TTAGGTACTACCAACCATGTTACCAACTTAGAATTGAGAGGGAAATTTAAAAAAAGGTTTTATTATGTCAAAAAATAAAAAGAAAATAGTATTTAGTAAATAGGTTTAGAAAAAACAAACAAACAAAACAAAATGAACATCTGAATAATAACTGAAGTTAATCATGATAATTATAGCAATTAATAATGGAATTTACGAAACATGAAGCACTCTGAGATGCAGAAAACCCTAGTCAAAAGTCAAAATAAAATTGTAAATTTTGCTAAGATTCTGGATCTCAGATCTTTTATTCAGATTGTTGTTATCACTCCTGCTGATATGTACCATTTCTAAGAATGTTCTCTTAAATTTATTTTTCTCTCTGGCTAATATTTTAACATTGTTGAAATCTATCTTATGGTCTAGATCGATAGTGTGTTCTGCCAAAGCACAAGTGGGTTTATTTAGTCTACAGTCACTCTTATGAGAAATGATACGACTAGACAGATTTCTTCCAGTTTCACCAATGTACGTGGATGGACATTCAGTACATTGAATGCAATAAACAACATCTCTTGACTCTAAAGTAGTTAGGGGTTGTTTTATTTTGCTATATAGCTGACGTATGGTTTTGATGTTCTTGTTAGCTATTTTGATGTTCTTAAATTCTTTGAAAATTTTAGTAAGTTCTACGGTTATCAAAATAGCTAACAAGAACATCAAAACCATACGTCAGCTATATAGCAAAATAAAACAACCCCTAACTACTTTAGAGTCAAGAGATGTTGTTTATTGCATTCAATGTACTGAATGTCCATCCACGTACATTGGTGAAACTGGAAGAAATCTGTCTAGTCGTATCATTTCTCATAAGAGTGACTGTAGACTAAATAAACCCACTTGTGCTTTGGCAGAACACACTATCGATCTAGACCATAAGATAGATTTCAACAATGTTAAAATATTAGCCAGAGAGAAAAATAAATTTAAGAGAACATTCTTAGAAATGGTACATATCAGCAGGAGTGATAACAACAATCTGAATAAAAGATCTGAGATCCAGAATCTTAGCAAAATTTACAATTTTATTTTGACTTTTGACTAGGGTTTTCTGCATCTCAGAGTGCTTCATGTTTCGTAAATTCCATTATTAATTGCTATAATTATCATGATTAACTTCAGTTATTATTCAGATGTTCATTTTGTTTTGTTTGTTTGTTTTTTCTAAACCTATTTACTAAATACTATTTTCTTTTTATTTTTTGACATAATAAAACCTTTTTTTAAATTTCCCTCTCAATTCTAAGTTGGTAACATGGTTGGTAGTACCTAAAATCACAAACGGCATTTTGTTAGACATCAGTTTGAAATTTTGTTTTTTGTAGTTACATCGAACTATTTAAACAACAATAGTTCCTCCTACTACCTCTTTCTGTTCTTGAGATGTGACTGAATTCAAACCTGCGAAGACGACTGTTTTTTGTCAAACATGTCGTCTTATTTTTTACTTTTTAAACTTTGTAACATGTTCTTTAATTTTTAAGTATTTTAAAGTTTTTAAAATTTTTAATGCCTTCAATAATTCAGATCACATTATGTTATTTAACGTTGTGTTTTATATGCTATGAATCTTACTTTCTGGTAAGTTTTTATAACTTTTATATTACATCAGCCTAATGTTATAACACAGTAATTTTCATTGTAGACCTTGATAAAGGTGGCAAATAACCACCGAAAGCTCGGAATTCAGAATAAATAGTACGCCTTAGCAAAGCTCTATTTTTTATTGACTACCACACCCAAAAAGAAAAAAGTATTTACATATTTTTTCCAAACTAGTCAAAAAACTTTGGACTACCTTGTCTTTCTTTTAGTATATATATATATATATATATATATATATATATATAATATATATATATATATATATATATATATATATATTATATATATATATATATATATATAAATTCCGCGGTCAGATAAATAAAAATTACTAAGTTCTCGGGAAGAACCGCGTTAAGAATTTAATGCTCGACGTTTCGGCACCCAGTTTTTAGCCATTTTCAAGAATGATACGGTTCCATTCAAAGATCGGGGTCTCAATCTGCCTACACCCCTCACTCGTGACGTACCAGTACTGTGTTCTGTGTAAATACAAGAACAGTCAAACGGCACTGAGGTCTCAATCTGCCTACTCCTCAGTGTCGAGTGACGACCGGTCTTACAATCAATCAATGTTCTTTCTCAATAGGATAGGTTTAGGATATGTCAGTACAAAGGTAAACACACCCAAAAGTCACCGGTGTTAGCTTCTTCTTATCTGTCTTCGCCTGGAGGAGTTTTTGTCGATCAGAGAATCAGAGAACCAGAGAGAAAGGCTTTTTTGGAGTGGTGTTCTTTCCAGATGGTCGTGTGTGTTTTTAGAGCTAGATGCGACAAGGCCGGGTCTCTAGTGACCATTGGTCCTGTGCAGTCTCGAGCTCAACCCGGCCCCGAAACCAGTGTATAGCACTGAAATTTCGTGGACGAATGTGCTCGTGAGTGGAGGCGCCTCGGCTTTCGAGAGTCGGCTTGCCGCATTTTGCTCAGTATGAATGTGTGCCACCATTTTGTTGTTACTGACTCCTCGAATCACTTAGATTTTCCCCGGCAGACCACAGACTCCGTGTAAAGTAACGGAAGCTGCAGGCGGTCGGGGGTCCCGGTGATGAGGGTACATCGGTAGCAGAAAGAGAACCCCTTTCACTGCTGGATTTGTGTGAGTGTGTGTTGTGTGTTGGAGTTCGATATACGGTTCCAGTAACTGCCGATTTAGGTGAGAAAATAGTTGCGGCTATTTTCTCAGAGACAGACAGGTATCATTGAGTAGTGAGATTTGGAAACCGCAAAAACCAATCTTCCTCTGTCCGGGGTAGGGAATAGGATAGGCAAGAACTAGGTTCGGCGATAGGCTAGCGGAGTGGCCTCAAGAATGTCGTAGTATTCTGCCGGAAGTTCGCCGATGCATGTTTGCATCAGAATAGAAGTGAGGGTGTCTGTTTTTGAGTATTGGGGAGGGACTACACGACCTCTGAAAGAGCAGGAACTTTTTAAAGTGTTTTGGGTGTTAGACGGGGGGCCGTTGATGGTCTAGAGGGTAAAGTTCCTGTTGAGAGTTTTTATTCTCTCGAGAATAGGGGTGGTATTCTGCACGTTCTACGCAGAATTCCACGCTCCGCAGAGAGAAGTTTTTTCCTTTGATAGCCATTGAAAAAGCAATATAAGTGTGCCTTATACTCAATAACGGGTCGAATGAAAGTTTTATAAGTGTGTACGAGAGTTTTGTTGTTGGTTTTGCCGAAAGTCCCTGAAAGTGGTACTAGGAGACGAGCTCGGTTTCTGACCCTATCTAAAGTTGCGTTTAGGTCAAGTTCCCAATTAAGCGTTTTAGTGAATAAAACGCCCAAGTAGGAAGCTTTCGGGCTGGTTACGAGCCTTTCTCCCATCAAATACAGGGGTGTTTGGTCATCGCGATTGCGTATGATCCCTGACGATGTTTTAGGGCTGCGGAACACAATAGATTGTGTTTTTGCAGCGTTTAAGGTAACTCTGCACTTATTGCACCATTCTTCGATACCGTTTAAAAGAGTTTGTGCTCTTCTAAAGGTTCTCTCGGGAAAATAATCGCTCCCTGTTGTTAGGAGGGCAGTGTCATCTGCATAGAGGTATAGTTAATTAAGTGTGAGGTATATTTGGAGTGGTATAGAACTGTTGTATGTGATGTACAACAGGGGTGCAAGCACTGAGCCTTGTGGTACTCCCGCTCGTGGAGTAAATGGGGTTGATAGTTGATCGCTTATTCCCACTCTCACCGTTCTATTTGTAAGATAGGAGTGAATGATTTTAATGAATTGAAGTGGGAGCCTGATGTCAATTAGCCTCCGAACAAGTCCTTCATGCCAGACCTGATCGAAGGCCTTTTGTACATCGAGAAAAGTGGCGATGGCGATGCTGTTGCCGTTTATGGATTGTGTAACTTTTGAGGTGAAGTCTATTAATGCATTATGAGTTGATCTTTTTGGTTGGAAGCGAGTTTCTGAATGCTTCGGCTTTCAGTTCTGGGGAACTGATAATTTGATTGTCGATCAACAGATGAGAAGGTTGAGTTGTTTTTTGCTTTGTTAGAACTTTGAATTTGTTCCAGAATTTAGTCCCATCTCTGTATTGGATTGTAATGTAAACTGTGTAAACTAATGTAAACTGTAATGGATTGGACATACAGGATATTAAGGCAAGACCAAAATAATATAATTAGATAGGCACTCGAATACCAACGAGACGGAAGACGAGGAACACTGGATAATAGTTGGAGAAGACCTGTAACAAAAGATCATGAAAGAATTGGCCTGAGTTAGAGAAAGCTGAAACAGAGAGCGAGAAATAGGAAGGAATGGAAAAATCTTATAGAGGAGCTTTCGAATGAATAAACCAGAAGAGGAGTTTGATGTAATCGAAGTAAATTTTTTCCAGGACGCTATCAAAATTTTGGAACACCTATGGGAAAAGTATGTTGAACTGGGCTATGTTAAAAAATAAAGGGGTCAAAATTTGCTTGTATTATTTCTAGGCCAGTGGTGGACCATAAAGATCAACCCTCGCATTCCTCGTATATTATGTTATACTTTAATGAGATTTTGTAATTTCTTTCATTCCCACGATTTTACATTAGATTTTCTGATCTTTTTTAGTTTAGTTCTGATCACAGAGACTACAGGATTATGATCTGAAATCTGATCAAATTCAAAACTCCTGTTCTATTTCGAAAACATTCATCCCATGTCTGTGATCATGAGTTTAGTCAAACTGGATTGTACACTTGCCTTGGTTAAAAATGGCGTAAATAAAATTTCTAAACTTTAAACTATTTTTGCGATACCTTCTTAAGAACTCCCCCATTTTAAAAAATCATAATAATGATCTTGGACTCTGGATTATAATGAATTAATTAGTAATTGTGTTTTAAATATAGGCACCCGATGGAGAGAGTCAGCCTAGTACAGAAGTCGATTTGTTCATTTCTACAGAGAAGATTATGGTACTCAATACAGATTTAAAAGAAATAATGATGGACCACGCTTTGAGAACTATTTCCTACATAGCAGATATTGGTGACCTAGTGGTATTAATGGCAAGGTAGGTGATTTAAAATACTCATTAAATTTATGTTGATGAACAACGTTGTTCAGACTACACGGGCATCTCAACTATGCGAGATGCCTGCTTCGGCAGGATGTCGACCAGTATTTCAGGCGATCGGGGCCGAATTATTCGATTTAGGGATTTCACAACGCAATGTCTCTCCGTCAATTATGATACTACTAGCGACTCCTCGGCGAATTTGGTTTCGGAGTATGTGAAAGCTCTTACGAAGTTAGCAGGAACGTTACTAAATATTGATATTATGTGGACAACTTTTGTATAAGTGAATTCGGATCCTGTGAGACTAACCTATGAGATCTTTGTTTACTTCAGTTATGACCACATGATAATTAGTTTGGTGGCTGACCCCGATAGTGTTTTGAGTTTTGGTCTAAAAATTTGGTGTGAGTAGTCTAGAAATTAGCAATCTGTTCATGAATTAAGGAGCCAAGCAGGATTAGAACTATCTTTGTAGATTGGGACGATTTTCTGGGAATATTCATCTGTTCGGCGGAGGCCTGAGATATTCTTAGCTCCGGTGATAAATTAGAGTTGAAGCTCGAGTGTAAGAAAGGGTAGTATGAATATATGAGGATATAGCAGGTTTGGATGGAAGCTCTAGGAACAAGTGGGTGTAGTTTTTGCCCCATGTGGGTGTAGTTTTTCCCATGATCGGGAAGTTGATAGATTGTCAGTCTCGACAAAATAAGAAGGGTTGTTTTGGATCTCATCGGCATTAGGTACTTTGTCATTGAAACAGTGGGAACCTGTGCGAGTCGTGATCGGGGAACAGAATTTTACAATATGAAGGCTATTTTTTATTGTTCTTACGAACCGTTCACCGGTTCCCTCACCAGTTAGGGATTTTTCTAGGTGTTTTTCCCAATTTGGTCCTTAGAGAGATAACCTATGTTCTTCCTTCATTACCTTTGACGTAGATTTCAGCACTGAGAGTTGACACGCTTACTAATCCTCATGTGCTCTTACCATATACCTGAAGCCTTGAAAGTAACCGACAACCGAAAAAGGTGCCAAATTTGCGTCAAGGTGTCCTATCCGTCATAGTTTTATTTTGCTGCAGGAGCATACATACCCCTGAATAACAATGGAACTTCCATCCTTAAGATAGGGAGGATTTGTAATGTAGCCAATTGGCTTATTTTATATCTTCCTTCCTTTTCCTATTGTATGTAGGTGTTCCTTAACTGGCGCATGTCCAGTAAGGAAGCCTGATATAACTCTGAGCTAATTCCTGCTTGTTTTCCGCAGTACTTTAGCCCTATTAGCTCGTGTCCGTCTTATATACATCTTGTTAGAAAGAGAGGATTGGCACCTAGATAAGCTAGAGACGACCTCTCGCAAACCCCAATACTTTCCAGGTACTTCACCATCACCCCCACATGTATTGTTATACCGTGGGACTGCTACAGTTTTAATTGCGATAGAAATATGTTTCTGTATTTGCTTTCCATTGAAGCTTGAGTATACTAAATGCTGTGCTCTTAATCCGAATTGTGCTCTAGGATTACTCCTAGTTTTTCCGTTTCATCTTGAAGTATTGATATAATCATTCATTCTGCTATGTTGCTGACTGCTGGAAGTAAGCTTATTGGCCTGTTTCTATCGAAGTATGGAGTGCATCTTCTTGAGATGGCAGACTGTCTATCCCACTAGTTGACGTTAGACCTAAAATAAAACGTGTGAGTTGCGACTAGTGACAGCTATATATGAGGCTGACTGTGAGTGACTCAAATTATTTAGATACGAGTAGACATTATCAACGCCCGAAAGTTGATATTGTTTTTACTTTGGTGTTCTTGTTAATTTTCTTATTACTTACAATATCTCAGAGGGTAATTGTCCATTAAGTGACTAGCGTAGAAGATATTTGTCTAGCTTAGGCTTTAAGTTTTTAATATTTTGCTACATCTGTTTTGCTGTTAGTGCAAAATAACTAAAATGTAAATTATTATGTACGTATTTCTAACAATTATTGTCATATATATACACCTAGCAATAGAACTCATATTATTTTATTTAGAAGGCGGTTTGTGCCTCATGAAATGGAGGACGCTCCAAAGATAAACCGGACTCCAAAGATGATTTGCCATGTTTTCGAAAGTGAAGAGGCTCAATTTATTGCTCAGTCCATTGGACAAGCATTTCAGGTAGCTTATATGGAATTTTTAAAGGCGAACGGAATTGAAGATCATAGTTTTGTTAAAGAAATGGATTACCAAGAAGTTTTGAATTCACAAGAAATTTTTGGTGATGAGTTACAGATGTTCGCCAAAAAAGAAATGCAAAAAGAGGTATGATTAGTATTTAACTTAGTAAGTAATATTTATATTTACAGATGATATAACTACTTCGAAAAGTTACAGACCATAATATAGTACCTTCATATTTCTTTTAACTGTTTGTTTTCCTTTTTTGGTTGAAATATCCAGTCGCATAGAGTTTGCCTACCGTAGTGATATAAAACAAAAAAATATTTTTTCAATTTTAATTTTTAAAATTTTCTTAACAAAATAACAATAATGTAACAACTGTATAAAGATACTCATACAAATCGTATAAATTAACCCTGACAACTATTCCTTTTCTTTTATTTCATCCAATTCGCTCTAACTGCATTTATCCCCATCCATTTACCCATTGCTCTGTAATACTGGTTATAGATATCTATATTTATTACTATTACTCTTCATAAACATTTCACTATCTACCACCTGGATTATACCTGTTACATAGACGGGTCTAAAAGAACGAAAAGAACATTAATAGCGTCACACTGGTACGTGTGTCAGGTCATCGGGAATACATGGATACGAAAGAACTAATGAATTTGCTAAAAGAATATTAGCTACATAATACTTCATTTTAGAACCGGATTTAGGAGTGCTAAAAATCACTGATGACCGGATAATGTCTGCATTCGAACACAATTTAACCCCCATTGGGAAAGTATACCCAGTCAAGCTCATGGCAAAATGTATCTCGGTTATGTGCTCGTAGGGCCGAAGTGCCGAAGTAAAACAAATATAAATTTAGCTCAGAATCACAACAGGTTTCGTTACTTAGCATATGCATCCGTCAAGATATGCACGTGCATACAATGGTACTTTCACTCCCCTACACCTGTTCTAATACAGTTATTTTTTCAACATACTATCTCTCACTTATATGGAGTGTGTTATATACAGTGTAGGTAAAAGTTTATGGTCGGTATGGTAAAATTTAACAGGATATCTAACACAGATATAAAATCATATTTTCAGCAAATAGACAAAAATACCAATTATATTTCCCCTTGGTCTCCCCTCCAGATTTATCATTGATGCCCATTGCCCATTAGTGAGATGATTAGTTCCGATCAGAGATATTTTACATATCTCTGGTTCCGATCCTAATATACGTAAGAAACTAGAGGTGGGTCGTTGACATTTTTATCGGAACCGTTTTTCGTAAACTGTAACTAGTTGATTATTTACCAGTAGTTTCAAATAAGCGAATACATAAACAAACATATTGGCCATTATCGTTTATGTGTATAAATATTGAAGTGAAAGAAACTAACGAAGGATATATTTATTAAACTCGAAAAATAAATTAAACAATTAAACAAATAGTACTTACATTTACATTACACATTATTAAATCGCGAATCGTCTAAATTGACATTTAAAAACATGTTTTTCCACTTTTCTTGTTAACCGTGTTTATCTTTTATTTAAAATTGAACCAGAATTTGGACATGTTTTCACAAGGAACAGATTTTGTTACAATACTACAATATTTTATGAATATAGTGGTTAAGTTAGGATGGCGATGGTTTTTCCACCACTGTAATGGACAGTTCCAATCTCCGTTCGAAATTTTTTGTGGGTAATATATCATCAGACAAATACATTCGTCGACTTCTTTTATATCTCTCGATACAGGTGTATGTTTAGATGAGTCATGTCCAATTAATTCATCGAAAATACACCATGGACTTAAGTCATCTTTATCAGTTTCTTTTCTTGTACTGGTTGATTTTCAATAGTACAATCTTCTTTTTCTTTTTTATAGCTTATAGAAGTAACCAGCTTCTTAACTCTTTCTTTTGTTTTTTATAACTAGGTATTCTGATTAATGAATGAGTTTCGATTTAAGATTGATCTGCATTTTCGATTTCAAATCTTTATTGATAGTTCGTCAAAGGATTTATTTATTGTAAATATTCAATTAAGAATTCTTTTTCTTAGTCAAAATTATTGACCTAGTATAAGAATAATAATTTTATTTTCAAAAAATGCACATTTGTAGAAGATGCAGCTTTTATGGTCCACTTTCTGAATGTTGCAATGATTGAAACTTCTCCTGACGCATTTCTGTCCGTTTCGACTACTTCTGATACAAGTACTGACATACTACCACACCACCCAAACGTCAAAAGGTGATGGATACTTCCATTAATAAAAATATTAGTTTAGAACAAAAGAAACAAAGAGATATGGACATACTAAACCTATGTAAAGACTCGTTTCATACGTTTTTCATAGTTGAAGAACGAGCTTTTAAAAAGTTTGCAGGGTGGATTCCTGGATATAAACCGCCAACAAGAAAAACTTTGTCAGGTTCATTACTTAAGGAATGTTATACCAAAACTGAGCAAATTATTAGATCACAAATTGTTAAAGAATTAGAAAATATCTGTTACTACTGTCCTCTGGACATCTGGAGTAACTGAGAATTACATCGCATTACAAGACAATATTTAACCGAAAATTTACAATTTAAAACGGTTTTATTAGGCTGCTGCCATTTTTCTGGAAACCATAATTCAGAAAACATCGCTTTTGAAATTAGTGAAATTATTAATCAGTGGGGTCTAAAACGAAAAGTAAATTTTGCAGTAACTGATTATGCCTCAAATATGTTCAAAGCTATTAAAGATGTTTTAGAATGAAAACATTTAAATTGTTTTGCTCATACGTTAAATTTATTGGTGGAGGACGCACTTAATGCTGTCGTGTACAAATAGATAAAATAAAAAGTCTTTTTTTCGACAATTCGGCAAAAAACACATTTCAAAAAAAGTACGTTATCTTCAGAAAGGCTTTTAAAGTATCAGTTACAACATAACAAAGTTCCCAAACGACCAATCCAAGACGTGGAAACTAGGTAAAACTTCACCTATTACATGTTAAAAAGAATGACCGAGTTAGAAGAGGCAGTCCGTTCCACATTGGTATTAGTTAATACAGACTTAGCCCAAATCTAAATAATGAAGAGTGAATTATTTGTTCTCACCAAATTTTACGGTCTTTTAAAGAAATAACAAGTACAATGAGTGGCCAAAAATACTTTAAGAAGGATAGTTCAGTGATTGTTATGGTACGCTGCCTGCAAGAATCTTGCAATAAAATTTTAGCAAACGGTAACCTTACATAATATCCGATGTAGTACAGTTACTAATATCGGGTTTAGCAAAAGATTTAGAGGGATAGAACAGAGTGGCACATTGTCATTATGTACATTTATGGATTCACGATTTAAAGTGCATGGATTTTCTGATAAAAATGAAGCTAAAAAAACAAAAGAAAGAGCTAGTTACTTCTATAATTAAAGAACAAGAAGATTGTACTATTGAAAATCAACCAGTACAAGAAAAAGAAACCGATAAAGATGACTTAAGTCCATGGTGTATTTTTGATCAATTAATTGGACATGACTCATCTAAACGTACACCTGTATACCATTACTGTATACCTGGACTGTAGTTCATTACAATGGTGGAAAAACTATCGCCATGTATATCCTAACTTAACCACTATATTCATAAAATATTGTAAATGTGAACACATGTTCAAAATCTGGTTTAATTTTAAATAAAAGTTATAATAAATATATCCTTCATTAGTTTCTTTCACTTCAATAAATATACACATAAACGATAATAGCCATTATGTTTGTTCATGTAGGTACTCGCTTACTTAAAACTACTGTTTAACAATCATAGTAACTTGTTTACGAAAATCGGTTTACGATAAAAACGTCAACGACCTACCTGTACTCGTTACCTCTGTCCACGCGAGACGGAGACGTAGCCAAATAATTTTGTGTGAAGATTGTGGTATCATATGCAGTTTAATATTTTTATTGGAAATAAGGCACAATGTGACTTTAAAATAAGCTTATGTTGATGTTTAGATTTTTAATTCGGAAATCGTACTTAAAATACGAAACATTAATAAACTTTATTTATATAAAACGATTTCCGAAGTGGAAATAAAAATGTTATATTACACTTATTGTAAAGTAAAATTGTGGCATATCCCCAATAAAAAACAGTAAGCTACCATTTAAATCCAGTTCGCCCAAATTTGATTACCTTAGAACATTGTTCAAATGCTAAAAAGACAACAGGTCAAATAAAACCAATAAGTTTGGCAACGTTGAATTTCCCCTTTTTTATTATATCAATTCATTCATTTTCGGCGATATAATGGGCGGACCTAATATACCTCCCTCTTTTTAAACAGGTGTTTCTCACTCCATCTCACGTAAGGTCCATACCGACCATAAACTTTTACCTATACTGTATAAGTCCATATACTGAAACGCTGTTGGATCAAAGAAGACAAATGGGAAGCGATAAGAATACAGACAGCCACACTTTAAGAGAAATGGACTCTTTCGAAATCAATCAGGAGAGATTGAAGGAAATTTAAAACCGATAATATTAAACGCAATATAGAGGAAAATAACAGCCTAAAAATTCTACGTATGAAGCTGACGAATGAGAAATGCGAAATTCATAAATTAAGAAACAAGCAGAATGAAATAATATCATGTAGAGACGGGTCATCGGAGAGTTTTAGGAGGAATTATATGGAAGTAGACGAGATGATAAAACAGGAATACAAACAGTCATTTCAAAGAAGATCATGAATCAAAGTACTGAACTAATGCCAGAGATAAAGGTAGATGAGATTCGATAAGCACAAATGAAAATATCGAAAGTAAGACACGATGGAATAATTGTAATAGGAACTATCGTAAATGGAGGAGATATGCTATTAAATAAATTAAGGAAGCTGTTTAATCTATGTTTGCAGCAAAGAGAGGAGCCCAAAGAATGGAACAATGCTATAATCATCCTTTTGCATAAAAAAGGAGATAGAACGGACCTAGAAAATTATAGACGTGTTAGCCTGTGGAACCACATATACAAGCTCTTCACTAGATTAGTGACATCAAGATTGGAGAGAAAATTAGATTTCTACCAACCGAGAGAGCAAACAGGATTCCATTCAAATTATGGTACCAATGATCACCTCCATATAGTAAAGACACTCATTGAAAAATCTATAGAATAAAACAAACCTCTTGTCCACACTTTCAAAGATTTTCATAAAGCGTTCGACACGATTTAAATAAACAGCCTTATAGAAACAATGAATGACAGCCGGATTGACCATAGGTATAGTGAACTTATTTACAATATTTACAAAAATGTCACTATGACTGTTAAGATACACGATAAAACTCGACCAATAAAAATAAAATGTAGGATAAGGCAAGGAGATACATTGTCTCCGAAATTATTCATACCAGCATTAGGGTATGCCTTTAAGATGGTCAATTGGGACCACAGAGGAGTAACAATAGATGGCGAAAAGCTTAACCATATCCGTTTCGCAGATGACATTGTCTGTATCACAGATAATTTAGGAGAAGCCACAGATATGTTAAATGAATTGGACTTTGCATGTTGGAAGGTGGGCCTCAGAATGAACTTAACCAGAACTAAGTGTATGACAAATATGGTCCCCAATAACCATTTAACTATTCAAATGGTAGAACTGGGTGAGAAATATACGTATTTGGGTCATGAAATCAACAGCGATAACCAACCATGAACCGAAACTAACCATGAACCGAAATCCAAAGACGAATTACTTTAGCGTGGGCAGAAACACACATAGGGCCAACATACCAATTAGCTGGCCTCAAAAGAAAAGTATTTGACCAATGCGTTCATCACCTATGGGGCGGAAACTATGACTAACTAACACTACGGCTTTGAAATTGCACTTCGAAGTGGCACAGAGACGAATGGAACGGTCTATGCTGGGAGTAACGTTGCGGGACCATATAAGACACGAAAATCTGCAAAGAAGAACGAGTATTGCCGATGTTGTGGAACGCATAGCGAAACTGAAATGGAACTGGGCAGGCCATGTAGTGAGAATGCACGACACACGATGGACGAGCAAAATTACAAATTGTAGGCCAAAAGCAGACAAACTTAGAGGAAGACCACCTACACGTTGGACTGACGACATCAGGCGTATCACCAAAAATTGGCAACAAAGATAACAAAATCGTAAAGAATGGAGGAGGAGAAGGAGAATGTTATCAAGACAGTTTTCTCGAGTCGGCTCAAAAATTGCTTGATTTAAATTGTAACCTCCCAGTACATCTTTTACCCTAGTTATATTGATGTCATTTGTACAAAATTTTACATTGATGTCACCTTTGGGCTTAGATATATACATATAATACTTACATCTACCTTCTTTAAAACAATCCTATAGTATTCAATACAATTTTCCAAGGTAAAACTCACATTACAATTAAACACATTAAAATTCAAAGTCTTCCTAACCAAAAAACTTGTTTCTCCTCCAACTGAATATAATCTGGTCAAAAAAGTTGGCAGTTTAAATCCGTATAAGTGGACTGCTTGAATCTCCTCTTCCTTCAGCTAATGTTCCATTATACAAAGGACATTAATTTTCTTGTCTGCATTAAAAGCTTCCAGTTCGTCTACTTTATTCTGTAATGATTGCACATTTGCATGTAGAATCCTTGGGTTGACGTTTGTTTCATGGATGGTATGTGAGATTATAAGGGCACCTTCCCATGGTTCTGTAGATTCAGAAAATAATTAACAGTCACTCCGTCTATTTCCATTTCCGAAGAGCGACCTAGGTATTTGTTCAGAAATGTAACCATCTAGGTTATATTTCTGAACATAAATACCTAGGTCGCTCTTCCATCGGGACTGTGAATTTGAATGATCTGCAATATTTGTCTCTTCTAGTTTTTATTCGCTCGAACTTGTAGTTAGCACCCAAATCACAGGACAGGAAAATCCATAATGTTTTCAGGTGTAATCTCTGGGGCCAATCCAGTAATAAAAAGGAATGCCATTTTAGTTGCGGCCCTCAGCGCACAATTTTGGTATGAGCCCTTGAGTGGTTTAGATCTATTTGTTTCGCTTAGGTCATTGAACTGTTTTTTTGTTTTGAACTGTTTTCCATCCTTCATTTTCATTACTAACCTCTTCCTGGTATTGATATTGTTGACGTGTATCATGTGTCAGTGGCGTACCTGGAATATGTTTATCGTTTGGTTTTGTGTGGTCGTCAGCTCGTCGTTTTCCCTACAAACGTAAATGTAGCTTTATCATCGACAGTAAAGGCCACATCGTTTATCGCAAACTTCATACTGTTGATTTTTATGATTTTTGATGACTGTTGGATGAATCGAGGAAAATTGGCGGGAACTGCGTTTTGTCTAGTAATCTTAATTTTTAATTTTTTGGTAGTATTGCCCAAGTTCTGCTCCAATTGAAACACCTTTCACGAAGAAGGTTAATAACTTCATTCACGCTCATTACCAAGAAACTTGGCAGTCATTATTTTGGATGTAGAACCAACTTCAATTTATCCGAGATTAATACACTGGCCTTGCCATTGCAATCGACATATACAATTTCTTTTATTTCCTGAACCATAGCGAAACTATTTCTTGCACTTTTTTTAAGGAGATGTCAAGTCGATCTCACTTTCCGCCATCTTCCTTAATAATAATGTGTTACTACTATGTTATATTGTATTTAATTTTTTAAACCTTTTTATTTAAAAACACAAAAAAATATTAATACTGGGTTTTTTATCACTTATGAATACATTACTCTACATTTCCCAGTTCTCGAAATATTGAGCATTTTTACTAATCCACAGGGTTTCGTTTTTACTAATGTATATGCAAAATGCTATAATGTATGCTATAGTTTAAGCTGCATATGTTTTGTAACATTTCGTATGTCGTCCGAGTTTATAGTTGGTAGGACTCTTAGAATTAAATACAGTTATAAAAAATTTTCAGGTTGTGGTACCGAAAGCAAAAGGCGAAATTTTAGGTGTAGTTATCGTTGAATCTGGATGGGGATCGATGTTACCAACGGTGGTAATAGCAAACTTGGCTCCTGCTGGTGCTGCTGCACGATGTGGTCAGTTAAATATTGGCGATCAAATCATAGCGATAAATGGGGTCAGCTTGGTAGGACTTCCATTATCCACATGCCAAACGTACATCAAAAATTCCAAAAATCAAACTGTAGTTAAGCTAACTGTAGTACCTTGTGCACCTGTTGTTGAAGTAAAAATTAAGCGACCAGATACTAAATATCAACTTGGCTTCAGTGTACAAAACGGAGTGGTAAGTTCAATATCTATACTGATTATAATTTTACCTAGATGGTTAAAATTTGTAAATATTTGATTCAGTAGAGTTAATTCTCTTAAATTCTGTTTTTATGTGAATTAGATGCATAGCCATATTATTGTTTTATTTTTGCTCCAGAAATTGCCATCTATAATATTTACTAGGTGTTTCTTAATTTACTTTTCTACTATTTCCTAGACAGGTCGTTCGTCTTTCTCTCTTTTTTCTCTTAATTGTATTTAAGTAGTTATTAAATCGTTTCACTCAAATTTCTAATTTTTGTTTTGTTCTATTCATTGTCATCTAATCGTTGCCACAGTAAGTTGCCATAATCTAGTTCTCGCAGTCATCACAAAGAAGGAAAAAAATCGTCATCCAAGGTTCATATACAACGGATGTTGTTTGTGAGCGAGGGTGAATTTTTTGTTTAAACATTATTTATTTATTTACAATGCTGAACAGGCCTGAATTCCTAGGGCTAAAATACAATTAATATAATACTTATATTTATAAAAAAAGTATATAAAGTGCTTCTTGTCCAATCATGCTATTTGCCTACTAAATTGACTTACTATTCTCCTCTATTCATCCCTGTTTGTTGCTCTTTGTTCTCTACCATTAATTCTCTGAGATTTCTGAGATATTCCTCTCAAATCATCTTTGTCTGGGTCATCCTTTCCTTGTTTTCGTTATTAGGTCCCGTTTTCGAATCATTTTTGGCATCATCTTCCTTTCCATTCTGATCACGTGGCCCATCCATTCGCACTCTCTGTGATTTTATGAAGCGACTGACGATTTCCCTTTGTCAATCTGGCATTCAGTTCTTATTCTTCCTGGCCTGTCTCTTCTCTAGCTCTAACCAGAAAATGATCCGAATCCATTTTGGCTCTTTTCATGCTTCCAATATTTCTTATAAATCTCATGTGACCAATACATGATCAATTTGGCTAACCGTCCTTCCATCATAAGACATCCAGCTTCCCTTATGTATTTCTGGTTGCTCCTCACCACCATATTTTTTTTCATCGCAAAACTGATTACCATTTGTCACTTCATGCTTGCTTTGAATTTCAACTACTACGTTATACATAGATTCCTTTCTTCACTTCTGCATTGCAATCACGGATTACTATTTTTATATCATGTTTTGGTAGCTGCTCATATTGATTCGTGAGCGGGGGTATAGCCACCGAACACCGTTGTTCGGTGGTATAGCATACGGCGTGTCTATAAGTTTTAATGGTCTAAGCTAAATATGGTTGTCAAGTTGTTAGGGAAATCTAGGGAAATTTTGGCAAAAATTCTAGGGAATTAAAAAAAATCATCTGGCAACCCTGATTAGTCAGTCATGGTGTGGCTGTCTGATGATTCGCTTATTGAGCATGGTGTAGGTACCCGTGTGTTTGTACGAGTGAAGAAATATTCTTAGACGGGCACGGTTTATTTTTATTAAAAATAATTGCTCTTGTTTATACATTTATAAAGTTTCCATTGTTTCTTTGATGGTGATATGAACTTAAATATTTATTTCAGATTTGCAGTTTACTTCGAGGAGGAATAGCAGAACGGGGAGGAGTAAGGGTGGGGCACAGGATAATTGAAATCAATAATCAGAGTGTTGTGGCTGTACCTCATGAAAAAATTGTAAATTTGTTGGCCACTTCAGTAGGCGAAGTAAGTGAAATTTTTTAAACAGTCCAATGAAATTACGGTATATATTATCTTATCGTATTCACATAACATATTCCCAATTCTAAATACAGCTACATGGATATCAAATAAAACGGTATAGTATTATTCCTAAAATATTATAATTCATACTCGTGTAACATAGTTTCGCATTTTGTTTATATAAAATATGTTTAGTAATTTGAATCGAGGACATTCATAAATAATATACTCTAATTAGAATTTGTAAATCAGCACTATTGCCGCGCGCGACACATACTTGGTGTAGGTCAGGGAACAAACTTGACACGAATAAGTAAAGTGCTGATATCTGTAAGGCAAGGGCTATTTAAAGCGACAACAATCATTATCTAGAGAGCAGAACTAATTTAACGTCAAGATGGCAAGTTAATGTATCACGTATTGTCACAACGTCAACTAAGTACTAATTACATTTAAGATTAAGTAATTTTAAGTAAAAGTGTACAGTAGTGTTTTCAATAAATGTACCATACGATACCGCAAGTGAAGCGTTATTTATCCCATTGCAATGTTTGATATTTATTATGATATTGTTTGCACGAGAGTTAAAAGAGTTGCACTAAAACTTTGGTATTTTTAAAACGTAAAAATATTTGTTCTTATGAGCTTTTTCAAATGAACTAGCAATAGCGATTCAAGAAGCAGTAAAAATGGACGTGATTCTAAATTAAACTTGTTCAAATAGCCAACTAATGTCATTTTTATTTTTAATCTTCACCTTTTTTTTTTTATTTATTAACAGGGCTCTCGTCTAACTGACAAGACGAATTGACTCTCAACAGATCGCAGCATAGAAACTGCTCTACTAGGTACAACAGCCCGCCAGCTATGTAATTGTTTACAGACAATTCCGAGCAAATTCTCACTTGCTCATTTAAATCTACTTCTTATTTATGCTTTGTATACTTGTTGTAGATTGGTATCTCCATAGCGATTTTCTAGTTGAGTGAACAAGGTCTGGTAACATTTTTCTTGACCCTTAGAAATCGATCTTAGGATATCCGCAGCATCACCTCGTAAAGCAGCAGTCAAGGAAACAGTCTTTTCTTGCTCGGTCCAATGATTGGCTGTCGCAATAGCTTCAAATTGTCTAAGGTATATGGACCAAGAAGACTTCCCATCAAATGGTGGTAATTTGAATCTCATATGATGTGTCGTTTCGTCTCTCGGTGATTCTTTTCACTACAGGATCTAAAACTGCTGCACTCATTGTTGGTAGCAATTACGTATTGGTTATCATGCTCTTTAATTGTTTACTCTTCTCTTCTATATTGGCTACATTTTTCTGTATCTATCGAATGTTCTAGAAAGTTCTTCTTTTTTATTGTTATTTCATTAATTATTTGAGTAGTCTCGTCGAATCTTCTAGAACTATTTTCGAATTTCTCGTCGTTTTGTCTAGGTACTTCTTTAATAATTTGACAACTTTCTTCAATTTTCGGTAAAACTGCTTCTTCTGCTGACCGAAACTGGAATGTCTTTGGGTCACCTCCATTCTTGTTGAGAACATTTTTTCTTGAAGGATAATGTTGGACCCGCTTCATCCCGTTCTTCTAGTTATTCATGTAACTGCTTTACTGAAAGTTCTACCAGCAGCATCTTTGATCAGGCACACACGTACTTTCCAAATGTTCTTTTTTACAAAAATCACCACCCAACTACGCGTATGTTTCCCACGAACAATACTTTTCAAAAGTTCAAATATCACTATTCAATTTATTTTTACATTAATAAATTATCCCACACACGTGACACCGCTTTAATGTTTTTAAATAAAACGAGCAGTTCTAATTTATATAAACTATTTATTTAAATTTACAGCACGATATTCTCTTATAAACTAACTAACTCATAACAACTCCCCGTATATATACCAAAATATTATTCGAAAATCATCTGGAGTAGTCCACCTCTATTCGTCGCCATACGTATTCGTTACCTACGCCTGCTTCGTCGTATTCCGCTCGCTATAGAGAAACTTTGAGAATATTCTTGTATATTCGCCTACTTTCTGAGAATTGTAACACATTATATAGGACACTCTATTTCGTTACAGTAGATTACAAAAGCAAAAAAAAATTTAAACACATTTTAAAATATCTTAATTTGTTTAAAATTATGTATTAACGAAATCAGACCATTGTGTATACAAGGTATCGGATGTATATTTATTTTGAATTTCTGTGTAGGAGTGGCTAAGCATCCAAAAGAAGGAAGGCTTATTCCATTTCCTATTTATGTACTGATTCACTGTTTTAATTTGGGAATCTGTTATGTGAATATCGCGTAAATCATTGACATAATCACACGTAATTACTTTTTAGATTCTCATGAAAACAATGCCGACTTCCATGTTTCGTTTGCTTACTGGACAAGAAAATCCTGTCTACATTTAAGTTGATATTAACCGAGGTTCGAAAGTGCCTACTTGTAGTTGATATTGAACTGTCCTTGGGAATTGTTTTGATTTTGATCGTGCTTGAATCGCAGATCAATATATTTTTTATTTTTAGAATAAGTTCAACAGACTGAAGACAATACAAGCAAAGAACTGCGCTCTGCACAAATCTTTTTGCGCTGAGCTTTCGTGATAGACCATATCTCCGCTTTGTCGCGTATTAGTTCCATCTTTTAAGCTAAATCAAATGAAAAATCATATTGTCGTAGACTTATTGTTTACATTGTAAATTGTTCAGGCGTTTCACGAACCAATGAGCTATATTTCATTAATAATAAATTATTTTATCAATTGATTTCCAAGCATTCATGGATGCAATTATAAATAATGGTATCCCGAATATAATTAAATCAAAATAATTTCTAAAATTCAGAAAATAAATGTGTAATTAAATATGTCCATGTAATATTGCGACAGGTTGTTTCTTATCCCTAAATTCAATTGAAAGTATTCAGCTAGTAATTCCTCATCAATGCAGTTTTAATTGTATTTACCCCTGATAGAAATACAAACATACGTGAGTCATTTAATACAATCTCCACATTTTTTACACTAAGATATATTTTTATGCATAAAGCTTCTAAAATTATGATTTTTTTTTGTACTCAATCTTCCAATCTTTTAATCTATTACTAGTATTACTAGGCCACAGGATGCCGAACTAGAGGAACTAACTGCATTTGAATTATATTTGGTCTTTGAGTTACTGTAACCTTAAATTTATGAGTTTATATTTTATGACTAATGCGTGGTATCCTGTAAGTTACTGGCATCTTCTTCTTCAAGTGCCATCCCAGCTGTAAAGGTTAGCTATGCAAATTAAACATTAGACTACAAATTGGTCAACACATGGCATGAACGTTAAGGGCAACAAATTAAACCACCTCACATTCGCTGACGACATGATTATAGCGAGCACATTCGAAGAATTACAAATTATGATGAAGGAACTCACAGATCTCTATATTAGAGAAGTTCCCCTAAATATTATAAAAACTATCGAAAACATCTACTAAAATAACAAAATGAAAGTCAGAATAGATGGACAACTTACAGAACCTATTGAAATAAGCAGCGGAATAAGGCAAGAAGATTCATTGAGACCCATGCTCTTCAATTTAATCATGGATGAAATCATCAAAAGCATTAACAAACTAAGAGGATGTAGAACGGGAAATAAAGAAATAAAAATACCCTGTTACGCAGACGACGCAATATTGATAGCCCAAGATAATAGTCTGCAAGAGCAAAAGAATTTAATATGACAATCTCATCTCAGAAAACTAAAAAAATAGTACTCAGCAAAGAACCAACCAGATGTAAAATAGAAATTGCTGGCATCAGTATTGAACAAGTAATGGAAATAAAATACCTGGGAATTACACTGTCTAGCTATGGAGACCTGGAGAAAGAAGTGAGAGATCAAGTACAAAAAACAAATAGACTAGCAGGATGCCTTAATAACACTATATGGCGAAACAGACACATTAACACTGAGATGAAGTCAAGAATTTATAAAGCCACTATAAGACCAATACTGCCATATGCCTCTGAAACAAGACCCTACACATCGCAACCTAGACACTAAACATGGCAACTATGAATAAACTAGTCACAACAGAAGGGACAATGGAAAGAACAATGTTAGGTATACGATTGTCAGATAAAAAGAGGAACGACTGGGTAAGATCAAAACAAAAGTTTTGGATATCGCAGCAAACATTGCCAAACTCAAATGGAGCTTCACAGGTCACACTGCTAGATAAAAAGACCAACGTTGGAACACCACAATACAACATTGGAGACCTTACAAACGTAGATGACCAAGAGAAGATCACAGATGAGATGAGATGGGTAGACGACATAAAAAGAATAGCTGGAACAAGTTGGAAGTATATTGCTCAGTATAGAGATCGAAGGAAGGAATTGGGAGAGGTCTATGTCCAAAAATGGACGATAGAAGGCTAAGAAGGAGAAGATGCAGATTATATTGCGTAATTAATTGTAGCAATGAGTGCCATCTCTAATTGTAAAATGTCACAGATAATGTAGTTTTCTCTTTCCTTTTTAAGTGCCAATCTCTTTTTGTTTGTCTACACTTCAAATGCTTCCTAGATATTTTATCCAATTATTTAGCATTCAGCATAAGCCATCCCCCATTTACTCACCGACAGCTTCAGGTGGACTGACTGGTAAAGGCACTATTTATCTGACAAATCGCTCTCGAAGGCAAATGAATCAAGCAAATAGTCTATGGCGTAAGGGGATACACAAAGAAACTATCGAAAGCGAATTGAATCTATTTGAATTGATTTTTATTAAATTAAAAACTATCGCTCCGTGCGTAGACGATAAGAAAGCTATGTTTCCCCTCCTCGGTCGCTCCCTGAGCGCCACATCCCGTTTTTTATTTTGACATATGCCAAACTCCATGCCTGGCAGTGTCCTCGAATCGAATCAGGCTGGAGGTAAGTTGACGCTCGAAAGTGCAATACCAAAAATCTAACGCGAAAAAATATGAAGTTTTACGAAGAATCGTCATAAAACATGGATGGGTCTTGTGAAGCGCATAGAGCCCTCTGACTAACAAGAATCATAATCCAATAACACATGATGGGAAAGCCAAGGGGAGGCCAAAAATACGATACATGGACCAAGGAAGAGGGAACCCGCAACTAGAGAACGAAAGCTAGAAATAGGAATGAATGGAAAGAATTAGTTTAACTGGCCAAGGTCCAAAGGGATGTGGAGTCAATGGTGATGATAATGAAGCCTCATAACCATGAAGACGTTTTTGAAAAGAATACATAGAAAGATATATAAAAAGTGTGAGGAGCACATGACAAATGCACAATTCGGGTTTAAGGATGCGTTAAGAAGAGATTTCTTCCAATGATGTAGAGACGTCAACTTTCATTATAAGGCAGTTGATGGAAAAATACAGGAGTGAAGAAACAAACGCTCATATGATATTCATTGATCTTGAGAAAGCATATGATAGAGTTCCTCGGGAGATTTTGTGGTGGGCACTCAATAAGAAAGGAGTCACCGGTGAAGATATAAAGATTATAAGAGACATGTATAAGGGAGTAACAACTAGTGTTAGGATAGGTGTGGAAGGGACTGATAAATTTCTTGTGAAAGTAGGATTGCACCAAGACTCGGTGCTTAGTCCTTATTTATTCTTCTTAGTTCTTAATCAAATAACAGCGAAACTACAGGGTAATATTCCGTGGTGCTTAATGTATTCTGATGATGTAGTCTTAGTAGGAAATAGTGAAAGCGACTTAGAACAAAAACTGAAACAGTAGAGGTAAGCTCTCGAGGAAAAACGTAGTAGGACAAAAACATAGTATTTGGAATGTTCATTTAAAGATGGAGTTAGTATAAATAGAATGATATATTTGGATGGTAAAATGATTGTGAAAAGTAATAGTTTTAAGTACCTAGGATCGATGTTACAGAGTAATGGGGGAATATATGA